AGATGCCATGGCTCTGTACAGTTACGTTAGCACTGTCCGCTTATGACGTTCAATATGGCTACTGTTCGATTCGGATTTATTTTTTACTGCACCCTATTTATAGGGTCTGCTGCGAAAGGAGATCCGACTGAGCTATCTGTTGTCGAATATGTGGTATGCATTTCGAAAAGTTCATTTGGAGAAGACCCTATCACACCAAATGACCAGGTGTTCACCACACTTTTCACCCCAGACTGTAAGCAAACTCACGAAGCATGCCAGCATAGGCCTCGTCAATTTATCAACAATTTATAGGTCTCTCCGCTCATAACCGACGGTAAATGGGAGGCCGATTTTGAGTGGCAGCTTTCAAATTCGTGACGACGCGCGTGGACGCGCTGTAACGCGGGACGACGCGCTTTCTATAAACGCTAACGCAGCCGCAGAAGGGAATCGATGGGCACGGCCGCTTGTGTTTCGAGAAAGTGTAGGTAAATAGGATGATGGGCGTTACTTAGTCGCACAGACTGCTACTGATGAACACTAGTCGTTTGCATTAGTTCGGGTCGAAGGACAACCTGAACTCAACTCCTTTAAACGCGTCGAGTCTGTTTTTCTCTGCTCTATCTTCCCCGTGGAATTCGCGCATTCCACCTTTCCACGTATGATAAGTCGCTCACCCTCCCCTGGAGTCCTCTCCCCGTGAAAGAGCTCGTTCCCTAACTCGCCATAGTTTCTTCACTTCTCGATGCTTTGTCAGGCGCTGTCCTCCATCTGTTTGCGTTTCTTAGTTTCGCAACAGGACCATCGCAAAAGTTCAAGATGTCACGTAATTCTGCGTTTGCGTCTTCTGTTGAAGTTGTAGCGCGTCGACGCGCGTGATGACAGAGAGTCTAAACGCTGCCCTTCACGTCTTAACAAACGCGCACATCTCAACTAAAGCAGCAGAATTTCTTTGTTTTCACAAGTAACCTTCTTTTGCTTCAGGTCAGTCTTTGCACTGGAAGAAACCTTTGGGCCTAAATCGCCATTTGCATAAAATTACTATTTGGGTCATTTAAAGCTAGACGCCATTCCTCGTGCTTTTTCTTAACAATTGATGACGAACGAGGTTACCTGCAGGTATACATCAGGTTTTTGAGAAGCAGAATAATGTTATAATACTCACGTCCTCACTGAGCAAGTGTATTTTTCTGGGATCTCGGTGTTGCGTTCTTGGTTCACAGGAGAATCTCTTCCGTCACTCATTCCTGAAAAAGCAATCCTAAAAAGCGGTAGGGTGGCTGTAAGGTTTCGAACGCAACAGGAAACAGAACATCACGAAAAGCACCGTTTCGACGTTTATGCAAGAAGCTGCGACATGCAAGATGTGCCGCAACGCCACGCCCACGCCATAGAGCCTATACTTGGTATCCGAAATCAGTCGGGGTGGAGCGAGTTCCCCACCAGCAGTGACTGGCTAGTGATCGATCTGGGAGGAATGCAACCAGTGATGAAAGTGCCAAGAGTGGATCCATTCCTTGCCTCTTGACACCGTAACAACTGATTGCGAAGACGTCAACTGTGACTGCCATGCTGGTTTCCATACTGGTACTTATCAGAGCTTCGCCCTCATGGATAGTAACATCGAAAAACAAATGTGAGAAAAAGAACGAAGGAGCATTGTCGCGACGCGGCCGCACACAAGTGGTGCCTGCACACTGCCTCAGTTCCTCTTCCGAACGTCACCAGGAACAACGGAAGGCAACGGAGTACGCGGCTGTACCAAAAAAACCCTAAACCAAGTTTGTCGGTTACAACCTTGTTCATAAGGGTTATTCAAAGACTTTGCGGCGAGTGCGACATTCATTTTTAGTAAGGACACCACTTGAAAGCTCCTAGTTTGGGGACGAAACTCGTGGTCAATTTAGGTTTACAGTAGCCTTATCACGAGATCTTCACGCTATGTTTGTGGTAAGAGTACCGTAAACGCCTGAAAGCAAAGTACATAATGCTGACGGTCACGATCCTCAGTACATTCAAATCTGAGCTTACAACGAGTTTGTTGGGAAAATCGTGGTGTCAGTTGGCAGCGGTAAAAATGGGTGTCGTAACGTGATAAGGGCCCCGGATAGCGTTATTGCGAAGTCTTCAGTGTGAAATCTTGACATTGCAGGGCTATAGTGCCCAGCGTCTATTCAAAATAGAAAACGGTGCTAAAACAGCACTCACTGGGTAAACGGTTTTTCTATCGTGATTCATACA